AAAAAAAAAAAAAAAAAAAAAAAATTTTATTGCAGGTAAATTCGATGTTTCAGAATTCGAAACTATACTTTAGGAAATCTTTGATGATAGAATAATTCAGAAAGAAATGATTGTATGGGCTGGTCGCTTTTCGAGATTCTAAATGATCACCCTTATCAGCCAGCTGATCCAATATTCGCAGATCCTGTAATGCGACATAAGAATATAGCTCGGGGAGGACATAGTCATGCGATTTTATCCAATTCGCCGAATAGTTAGGGTAGTTTAAAACGGTTTCAGGGCGCACGCCTACGGAATTCTAGATTATGTACACATACTTCGAGTCTGTTGTTCGATGATGTTCAGTCGGAGTTTTGCTTCCGTCTCGTTGATTCTTCCTTGTGACTCTGACTCGCATCTGTTCGAGGCATGTCGTCTCTGATCGTGCAATATCGAGGACATTCCTCCGTTAAACAGTTTAGATTCGAACAGGCGATTATCAATTAGAAAAATCGAAGGTGATTGCTCTGAATCGGAGAGAAGAATGTTGATGGAACGTCGAAGATTCAACAGGTACTAGAAGAGATCTAATTCGAACGTGCAGAGTGTTAATACGATTTTTTATTGCGTTAAAGATCTATTTTTTTTTTTTTTTTTTTTTTTTTGGGGACACTTTTAATAACTGCTATCGAATCTTGTAAGCTGATCCAGGATAAAATAACGTTGACCTCTTCGGGCTCGTTCTTCCTTCAACAAACTCTACTGCAATGAAGCGAAATTGAAGACCAACGGAGTGCATCAGTGCAGACGAACCTACAGATTTGCAAGCGCGCTACATGAAAGCAAACGATGAGGCGCTATCGAATTTGGAGCCGACCAGCTCGGATAAAACGGACAAGAATGAAGAACAACCTGTGGTGGACGAACCGCTAGATAACAACCCGAAACCAACGCTAGACATTGTATCAGATGCGAATATAGTTCAAGGTTATGACCCAAAAACTATTTTTTATCCTCCATTCACCAACGTATACTTTAACATCGTTTGTGTCATACAGGAACAGTTCAGCCGAGTTTAGAACTTCCACCGACGTTACACGAACGATTTATGCGAATCAAACAAATAGTGAAAGATGCCATAGCTGCGCATCACACGTTTATGGTGTACGGAAGGGCGCGAGTGATTCGCGAATGCATGTTAAGACGAGGATGGTGCGAAAAGTTCTTCAAAAAGAATACCAATGGTATTTCAGTCGTTTCGTGAATTTTTTCAATTTTGTATTTTACCTTTGGTATTACATAAGTCGACTTTCTCAGGTGAACAACATTTTAACGTGGATGCAAGTCCTGTCGTATTGTTGGCTGGTATCGGCGATTTAAGGGATCAGCAAAGCGAGCGCCTATTGATCTCTAGAATGCTCACTAATCACACCGTGGATTTTCTCTGGAACACAGGATCGGAATGGCCCGGTTGGCCAGCACAGGACAACAAAACGACGATCTTTAACAGATATTGTCGGGCAGGATTCACGTCGAAGGTACCTGAAGTGGCCTTGCCTAATTTCTTTCAGTCATGTGAAACACACTTTGTACGAGGATAATATATGCCTGTAAGAAAATCGATTGCCTTAGGTGGGTTTATGTTCAAACGTCAGACAAATGCACTGGTATTACGAGGCTGGAGTGGCGAACACACTTTTTCCACGTTGCTATAATTTATGCCAAGGCGATCAGATGCACGCTTTCGTCGAAGACTTTCGGTGAATCATAGCTATTATTTGCACAAATCTTCCTACTTTTTAACATCTTGATCTTTATTTTATTATCTATATTTCGTATAGATTCACAGCATGTCTAGGTCTGTTAAAATGGTTAGTTAGTAAGATCAACAACGAAGGTGAAAACGCAGTTAGAGCACCGACTGGCACGGTGCCCTTGAAGGCGTTAGAGTTCGCAATTAAACGATGCAGCGATTACATTAGCGCACAATCGCACGAGGATATCGACCAAGAAATCGAAAGGGTTTGGGTGCATCAATGGGATCAGTTTATCAGCTGGTACTATCAGATCGTTCATGGTCACGCTCTCTTTGTTCGAAACAATGTGCCATTTCAAGTAAGCAACTCGATTTCGATCGAATCGCTGACAAGTGAAGTCATGGGAACTATATTAATTTAGCACGGTGTGAACAGAAATTCTTCTTGGCGTCGAAGCATATCCTGAAGAAGATGAAGAAGTACTGGCCACAAATCGATATGGACGGTGTGATGAACGTGTGGATCATGAAACCGGGAAATAAAAGCCGAGGTCGAGGAATCGTTCTGCTGAATAAACTGGAAGATGTCATGGCGAAGATGAATCCATCGAATAAATCAGACACGCGCTATGTCGTACAAAAATACATTGGTAATTGCTGCTGCCTTTAAAAATTATCGATCGGTACACTTTGATCCGGATAAATGTAGTCTTGATTAACACACGTTGTTCCCTTTTTTATAGAACGGCCATTACTCATACACAGCACTAAATTTGACATCAGACAATGGTTCGTCATTACCTGCGCCCAGCCCCTAACTCTTTGGATATACAAGTAATTTGTTAGCTATAATTTATAGTACATTGTAGTTAAGTAAGTACAGGTATGCATAACTTGAAACAATTTCTGTTCCGTGTCACGTTATCTCATGCTTGTAAGTATCCGTATCGTATAATTATTGTGTGGAAAATGCATTGCAATTATCGTCAATGTACATTTGAAATAGTTCACAAAGCAGAAAGAAGCAACTTGCTAATATGCATTTAAAATTATAACTAGGTAATTCATTACTCTTAAACAAGTTATAAGAAATTACTAGTCACGAGTTCACCTTCTGCAAAACCGATCCCAGTTTACATAACCCAGTTTGCGTAAATGAGCTTCCTATTATTGTATTCATCGAGCGATATGTTCGACATGCGAATCCTACGAGCAACACGATCCATCGAAAAAGGGAATAGTAATATAGCATCCTCTTGTTCGCAGGGAAAGTTACCTGCGATTCTGCTCCCAGAAATTCAGTTTGACGGACTTCCACGAGTCGATTCATCTGTGCAATCACGCGATCCAGTGCAAGTACACGAATTGCGGCGATAGAAATGCTGCGTTGCCCTCGGACAATATGTGGGATGCTACGACCTTCAAAGAGTTTCTCAAGTATGATGCACTTCGATTCAGTCGCGTGATCAGATTGAAATTTGCAACTGACGAAACTCCAACAGATCTCAAGGACACGACAAAGCGTGGGACGATATAATCTATCCTGGGATGAAGCAAGGCCTGGTTGGCTCTTTGTTAGCTAGTCAAGAAGCTATGGACCGTCGAAAAAATAGTTTCGAACTCTATGGCGCTGATTTTATGGTTATGGATGACTTTTCCGTATGGCTGATCGAAATCAATAGTCATCCTGACATGAGTTACTCGAGCAAAGTTACGACACGCCTGTGCAGGCAAGTTCTCGAGGACACCATAAAAGGTGCTTGAAACTTTCCATTTGTTTATACGAGTGCTAGGCTTGCTTTCTTATGCTATGTGGATTTCCGCAGTGGTTATAGATTATCGAGAAGATAAAAACGTTGATACAGGAGAGTTTGAGTTGGCTTACAAACAAAGGATGCCAAGTTGTCAACCATATTTAGGCGCAGCTCTATCTCTTCAAGGGACTAGAATAACTACTTGTGGGAAGAAAGCTAATTTAAATAATCAGGAATCGAAAGTTAGTCTCGTTTCGAAGTCCCCGATGGTAGGCATCAAAAGAAAATCGAAGAATTATAAATAATTTCTTAATTTTACGAGCCTTACAGAATGCCATCCGAAAGTTAGAAATTATTTGCGATAACCATCTTTTATCAGATATTATAGAGATATTAGTACAGAAAAGAAACATGAAACTATTGATATATATTAAGCATTATTATATAACTAAAAAGTGACGCTATTGTGTATGAATTTATATTTATCCGTGGTTAAATGAAAATAATCGTAGACTTGTTTAACGAAGAAGAAATCGACTGTGCACAATCAAATCGGTCCAGTGATCGTAGATTTGATCGAAGAATTAGAAATACAGCTTGACCAAGAATTTTACGCTTACTACAAAGTGGACTCGCCTAAGTTAAGGCAAGCTCTACCAACGAGTGCACCTCCAAAGCCCTTAATAACTGCTGTGCTGATCGATAAGCAGGAATCGACCGTGAAAAGTGCACCTGTGGTTGGCCCGGTACCTAACGTTAAGTCAAAATTCCCTACATCCGTTCAGGTACGTATTACAATGATTAAATCGCGTAATTATCAGGTGGTTTTATTAAAAAAAAAAAAACGATTGTATATTAGGAAAAAATTGGCAATAATCAGAAACATATGACGCGCATGCCGAGAAAATCGCACACTTTCGCTGGACCAGATAGCAGTAAGACAGAATCATCTCCGATATCGCAGTCTTTGGTTACCAAGATTATGGCTTTTCAGAAACAATCTACAAAATTGGTTCCAAAAATAGAAAAACCTTTGAAGTCAAACAATGATAAGGTAGATGTAATTTTATAGGATTTACCGCCATATCTTATTCTGGATAATATTCTCTTTATATGCGTTAGATAATCAAGACGGTGATACGAGATGCCATTAAAAAGTACAAGAAGAATACTCCTCATCTGTCCACCATAACTCGGGAAACACCAACGTTGCCGTCTCTTCTAACTACAAACAAAGTTGGTCAAGCAGTGAACGTGAAAAATAAAAATCGTAACGTCCCAAAAAAATATCCTCGTCAAAAGAAGAATAAGATTTTATCAGACATCACGGACATGTACGCCGTTGGTTTAAGGTTAACTAAGTGATTGAAAATGTCTTTGTGATCTGCACTCGTTACTCTTCCATTGTTGATCTATCCTTAGAGTCTATATTTGAACGTATATTTGAACTGAACTGTAAATGATCAATAAAAAACTATACTACCGACCGTTAAGATCTTCCGATTTTTTACTCCCTGTAAGAAAATACCGAAACAAAATCAAATCGACTTCTTCAAATCGAAAAAAAACATGATTTGACATTAATTAACCAACATCAATGGCAACTTAAAAAAAAATCAAAATTATTAAAGTGGAACAGTCAGACAAATGGAGACCATCGTTCTCCAAAGATTCTCCTCTAAATTCGATGATTAGCTGTAAAAAAATTAAGCGATATACGTTCTTTTTGTCCATACTTGTCACGTGGAATGGAGTACGTCGACTCATCTTGGAATTCTGGAGGTACTGCAACCGCCGGCTATTCGCCTAATCAGAAAGATACCAGTCATACTCTTCTCAATGAAGATGATTTTCAATGCACATTTTTTCGACAATCCAAACGCAAAATCAAGGTACGATATATTGCGAAAGTTAACTCTTAAAAGCCATCGTTAAGTAAAAGAAATCATGTTAATGTCATGATGCATCGAATTTTAACCCGATACGTCTGTTTTTATTTCAATTAAATTTCACCTAGTCAAAAATATCATACTGTGATAATGTCATTACGGACGACTGCTATTATCAGCCACGGTGTATGAGCGTTTAGGGAAGAACAATTAACCGTTCTACACATTCCAAATCCAACAGCGACAAGAAAAACTTGAGCCCTAATGAAAAAGTATGTGAACGAGTACAGCACAGTCTGTACTGATAAAATGTTAGAAAATGTCTGGTCTTATAAAAAAGGTCTCACCTGTCCGGATTGTCTGATGAGTTCTCTCTAGTTTGCTCAGAACACAAGCTGATTGACTGTTGTCAAACATTAGTTTTTCAACTAACAGCATCCTTTACGTGTCTTCACCTGGTAAAGGTGAAGTGGTAGCAGAACTGACGCGAGGTGTTCGGTTTCGGAAACGTGCGAATATCTCACGTAGTTCGTTTAATATTATTCCGGACGGAACAATATTAAAACAAAATTCCTCGGTGCAATGAAACTTCGTGCCTTTAGAAGGCGAATCTTGTCGTTTAACTTGTCGGTCTACTGAATCACTCCAATTTTCCCTTACCAGCCAGGCACATGCCACTCGCGGTGGTCAGACGAAAATTCGATCTCGTTCAATTTGTCCGACACTTGCACCGATTCGGAAAGCGAGTTTGACGAACAAGTGCACTCAACACCGTATCTACCAACGAACTCCAGTGGCACGTACACGAACGATGATCACATTTCCAAGCCTAACGGAAAAGCACTCGATGCACCGAGAGTAACATTTAATCAAACGTTATATATTCACTCTGACAGAAGCCTGAAATCCTGTTTGCAGAAAGGATCGATGCGAAGAGAAATTGAAAACGGTTTCACACAAATCGTACGGTTAACGAAAAAGAGAAACTGCTTGAGAGAGAAAAATGATCTGAAGAATAACTATAGCACGAGATTCTGTACGTCGCGATTTCCTACGAAATGTGAGAAACAAATAGCGTTGAAAGACAAAATGTTTCTTGAAGAACGTATGAAAAATAGTAGAAACGCGCAGTCAGGTAAAATTTGAAGGAAATTTAACTTCTTTTCTTTCTATATTATCTTTGTAACGTGTTTGATATATTCCAAGGCATACGAAGTATTCTCCGTGGTACTAAGAGGTCATACGATCCCACGAATATCGCACAGGACGACAGAAGTATTTGCAAAAGAAAGAAACTGATTGAAAATAGAATCGTGAAGAATAGACGTTTGCTAAAGTCTGTAGCAGAAATGATACGTGAGATGAGTCTAGAAATTCCTCTTCGAATGGACTTCGATTCGATGCAAAGTATCAAGAATACAGTTGCAGAGACTGATCTGACGAGATTAGAAGGAGAAAAAGTACAAGCGAAAAACCTGAAAAAAATTGAGAACAGTCAAGCAATTAAGGTGGAATTGCAAAGGCCAATTTTTAAAAAGGCCAACGTGGAAAAATTGTTGGACGACTCCATGCGTGAAGCCGTGAAAAAATATAGAGCATGCAGAAATACGTGGGATAGTATAAAAAAAGAACAGTTTATAAAAGCTTAACAAAAAAAAACATTTTGTTTACTCCAAATCATGAACATAGAGCAATATCGAAGCACACTTATCGATTGTCAATATCATCATCGAATGGTGTCATTTTTGAACGAAAGTTTGTCAACTAAATTGAGATGTAGAAAGATTGACGCGACCAAAACATGTTAAAGTATAAAAATATACAAATTTGTTATTGAAAAGATTCCACGATGCGACAAAAGAATGATTATGTAACTGTTTCGCAAAACGACAAACAAATAAGTCAAAACGTAGATCTCATTACAAATTCTAACTATGGATTATCCGACATCCAAGGAGACTTTAAAATATCGAAAAACGGAAAATATAAATTGGAAGACTCGAACATTGTAAAAACTATTAAAACGCGCAAATGGCAAATTGTGTTAACCTCACCCGATTGTTCGATTAAAGAGCACTGTCAAGGTTGGCAGGTACGAAAGAGTTGAATTAAAAAGTCCAACAGAATTTTCGAGTATTACAAAACACATAAAAATATTATTTCGCAAAATTTTTTGTAAGATATATTCAAAAGATCCAAAGGAAATCGGAGAAGAATCAAAGATAATTGTAAGAGTTTCCGATTCTATAATGATTACGAACGTAGAGCCTGTAAGAACCGCGAACGTCGAGATTCTTTGCAACCGCGATGATCTCGACGATCTACTGGAAGAAGAGGAGAAAGAAAACGTAAACACATACGGCAAGATCATTCTCAGGGAATACTTGAGTCTTCTCTCCGCTGAGGATGCAAAGATCAATTTCATTCTGAAGGTTCTGACAAAGGCGGTAAACGAACATAAAATTTTCGTGATTTATGGCACCTTCCCAGTGCTAAGGAAGCCTCTAGGAAGAAGAAACTGGATAGAGAAAAGGTTCATCAGAAGAATGCTCTCAATGTCACCGGAAATCTCGGAAGGTTGCTGACAGAAATTCATTCCATTTGTTATAAAAGCGACAAATATACATACGTTCTTTATCTTTCAGCTGGCTTGGAAACGATTGAAAAATTATTACGTTATCCTGCTAATTTTATATGGTCCACTAATAAAAGAGTAGCGGTTAGAACAGAAGAAAGAACCATAATTAATAAATTCTCCGGGTGCTATTTCACATCAAAGGTTACTTATAGCAAGTGATTTTCTAATATCCATAATCTTTTTTCGTTCGGAAGGTATGAAGAAACTATTGGAAACTATGTTAAAATTATTTCAGATCGATATGTGCAATAATCTAGAAAATATTTCTTGGTTCTATGAAACTGGCGTGTCAAACGTACAATTTCCACGATGCTACAATGTTTATCAGGTTCGTATACGATTTTTCATTTTGATGGTAATAAAAACATGTCACAAGTGTACAGCCTGTGCAGATAAAGGAATTCGTGCAAGATTTTTACATCACAGCTTGCATGGGAATTCTCAAGTGGTTCTTATTCTTGGCCAGCATCGCTGGACCAAATGCTGTTTGGTCCCAAGACGGCACTGTCCCTATCAAAGCAGTTTTATTCGCTCTTGAACGTTGCGCGGAATACATAAGGTTTTAAAAAAACAAAGTAAAATACTCTCGAGGCATTTTCTATCGAATCCAAATAAATTGTAGCATCTGCGCGCACGAGGACATAGATGGACAGAGTTATAAAGACATATCAATTTCTAATTGGAATCAATTTTTATCGTGGTACGAAAGACTTTTGCATAAACGAGAAATATTGGAGAAGAATGATGGCATAGATATCGAAGTATGCAATTAATATAAAATCAAAATGATGGTAGATTATATTGAAAATTTGTTGTTAGGAACTATTACGATTCACCGCAAATATGATAAAAGAAATGATAGAGTGTCGTCCTCAGAGTCAAATTGATGGAATGCGGAATGTCTGGATTTTAAAACCAGGTGACAAGAGCTTGGGTAAAGGTATAATTCTTAAGAATTCATTGCAAGACATACTAAGCAAGATAAATCAAGCTGCTAAGGAATGCATGCAGTATGTCGTACAAAAGTACATAGGTCAGTTTTTGCTTAGTAGCAGCGGTAGCAGAAAAAAAAACAGAATAAATTAAATTAATAATTAATCACATCTAGAACGACCTCTACTCGTTTATAAAACGAAAGTTGATATTAGACAGTGGTTCTTAATAACCAGTACGCAACCTCTTACAGTCTGGATGTACAAGTATCGATCTTTTTTAACCTTTCAACAACTTGTTTTGTTTAGCAATTCTTCACAGAATTATTTGTTTTGAAGGGATATTCTGCTTCGTTTCGCGTCGAAAGATTTTACTCTCGACAATTTCCACGAATCGATTCATTTATGTAACACGACTGTGCAGTTGAAGTACAGAAAGACAATAAAGCAGAACGCACAGATACCCAGCGAACTTCACTGGAATCTTCAGAAATTCAAGGAATACTTGAAGTATGCATTTTATATCGACTCTTAAAGAAACCTCGAGCAATTACTCGATTGTCTGCCGTTTCTCAGAAATACCGACCGAGAATCAGCATGGGAGGGACTCATTAAACCAGGTATCAAGCAAAATTTAATTGGCGCACTTCTGGCATCCCAAGAAAATATGGTCAATCGAAAAAACAGTTTCCAATTATACGGCGCTGATTTTTTAATAATGGATGACCTGTCGGTCTGGTTAATCGAAATAAATACAAATCCACGATTGCATCCTCCGAGCAGTACTGTTACCGAGGAACTTTATCCAGAAATAATAGAAGATACTATTAAAGGTAATTATTGGATTTGTATTATATAGTTTTTACCTTGTGTACAGCGAATTAAACAAAACACGATTGTGTCCATTTTAAGTGGTTATAGATCGTCGTAAAAATAAAAAAGCTCCTCGTGGTAAGTTCGAGTGCATCTTCAAACAACGCAGTCCATTTTACGGGAACGTTCTAGGAAAAGGAGCGAGCCTTGGAATTCGCGGCAAGGCACTACTTTCAACAGCAAATTCACCTCGAAAACTATAAAAAAAAAAACATCAGCTTTTCATATAAAAAAGTATTCCAGTAGGATGACAAAGGACAATTAAATAAGATTTAATAAAAACGTTTATTTTACAAGTAACAATGTTTTTAGGTATACAATCCTAAATGAACAGATCTTTTTTCGATATATCAATACATATCTATACACAAATGCGCACAAGATATACTGGTTCAAGTCCAAGATATAATGTTGCATTCATATGTTTTGATGCGTACAAAATGATCCATTCAACATTGCATTTGTCTTTTCATATTCCTTACTTTAATTTTGATTAGAAAGAACATGTTTACGTCAGTTTTTCTTTATTTTTTGTTGACAAAACGAATTCTATATTAGGTTCTAAATGTATGCATATTCCATTACGATTCTCGATTTAGTATACTAGGGAAACTAGCTCTTCTGTTACTATTTCCCCGAAATAGCTTTGTGTATTATGTGTTACAAATGCACAATAATTATCTATTTACGTAGAAAATTCTTTTATGCACTTGCATAGTTACAAAATCTATTTGGTCGTATTCATAATGTGACCATCTGAAAATTTTCAACTGTTATCGAGCTTAAAAACGCGAACGCTATAAATACGATTCACGTTTCTTTAATATATCTAACTGAAATAAAATTACTCTTTGTAGAGTATAATTACGAAGAAACGACAATATATGAACTGCATTTGCAATTTGTAGAACACACCTAACTAGGCTAGACTACACCTTCGTCAAACAGATCGAGCATACCTGTACAAAATGTATACCGTTATAGTGTAGAAAAATTTACGACAAACACGTGGATGAATACAAATTCTGCCTCTATTATGTCCCTACTATAAAAAGAAATCCTTCGTCTGTATTGACATCGGTGTAGTCTCAAACAGGTAAAATCCCACCTGCATCGGGCTTCGAAATCTGGCAAGTATAGAATTAATTATTCAATTCTGATGTTCGTATTATCATCATAATTAAATAAAAAAATTCAACGTCGCTTGATTTCGATGATTTTCGCAAATATATTCGGAGCGAACTTTGGATCTTGTTGCTGCATTATATATGTACATATGTACGCGCCGCTCATGACGAATGTTCTTATGGAACATGAATAATTCCAAAATCGACAAGATGTATGAATATCACATGTAAAACTGCACGAAATGAGACAGACTCACGTAACTGGCTTTAGCGTAAAGGACAATTTAGGCCTCGAGTTGTTCTTCCCGAGGATTTTCTTCTGTTCCTCTTTAACACGCTTTTCATGTTCTTTCCTCATTTTTTGCCTTTCTTCTTCCATTAAACGTTGCTGTTCGACCATGGCCAATCTTTCTTCAGCCTATCAACAAGTACGTTCGTTTAAAATATCAGTCTACGAACGACTTAGACTACCGGATACTTACCAGTTTCTTCTGAGCTTCCTCTATTTTTCTGTTGTTCTCCTCCATGATCCTCTCTAGTTCCTCACGCTTCTTCCGCTCTTCCTCCTACAACGACAATGGGATCTATTTACACGAAGCAATGATGGTGTTGCTCACCAGCTGTTGTTACACCATTCATATCCAAAAATCATAGTGCCGCTATGCCAACAGCCTAGTGTTACACATCCTAAGAACCATTGTTTTTTATATGGGAAAAATAGTCGGGAATATATATGAAATTTCGAGGTCGGGTTTTAAAGAATTAGGATGGCTTGTTGAGACAAAAGTAACGGAGGATGTATATAAACCCAGTTCCTTCGTTTGGATTAAATGAGCTCCTCTTAGTTCCCAGCGAATGCTGTTTATTGACAGATTCCCCAGATGGAAATACGACGACTTAGGATGCCACTTGAAAGTGAAAAAACGTGAATTATGATTCTGAATCAATTCACTGTGCATGCAAAAGAACGTACAGAAAATTGCAACTCTCCTTGCTTAAACGCGACACGTTGAGTAACTTTGTTAAGTGCAGGATAAAATCTAAATGCAGTAAGTGTAAGAATATTTTATTAAAAAGACGAACAAAAAAAAGTTTGAAAAAAAGAAATAAAGAACATTTCACAAAGAATAATGATTATTGTTCATGTATCTTCGATAATGGCTGATGTGCATTTGAAAAAAAGAGATGGAAAACGTATTAAAAAAAATATTTACGAACGAGTGGTGCCATCCGCCCCGACCTGTCGAAGAATGCGTTGTGTCCCAGGTACTAATATATAGCAAATCTAAAATAATCCCTAATATTGTCTTTCCGACATATAGTGTTTAAACAAAGAATGATAATAATAATATCGGTATAAAATGAATTATGAATATATAAATTGGATAATACCTGAATGAAGCTCACGCCAGCACGTAGGGGATGCCTTCTTCATCGACAATCACTCAGCAGTGAGTAAAAAACCGGCATCTTCTGTTGGTAGTCAGTAAGGAAGGTGACCTATATAATGCTAGGTCGTGCTTTGTTGCTATGGGATTCTAATTCTGCCCTTTAAGGTCTACCTCTCCCTTTCTAATTAAATTTCTCCCAAACTTGTTCACATATTCAGTGCAAACTCAATGTGCAAAGCAATAAGGATAAAAGTATGGTCAACTTGTAATCAGGGTCGCTGTCCATTTGACCGGAACGTGCTGATTTTCCGGGGGTGAAAATAACCAATTGTGCATATACATAAAAAACATAGTAGAAGAAATCTCCTACTCGTATTTAAAGGAAAATGAAGATTCGTATTTAAAAAAATATAAGTACTTAAAGTCGAGCATGTAAATATTATTTTATTTAAGTACTTAAAATCATTGCCAATTAGATCAAATAACAGGACCCCGTCTTGTAATTCATAGAATATTGGTTATACTAAATTAAAGCTGTTAGAAGAGCTTAGAATAGCAAAGTTACGGAATAGAATAAATGTTTCTTTTCATTATCATTATCATTAAAGTCTATTAGCAATTCTATCATTTATTTTCATTATAATATGCAAACCTCTCCAAAAAAGCATTTTATCAAGAACGGTAAACTAGGTATACTATTTTCGATTTTCAGATATAGAAGTAATCATACAATATTATTCATCTTATATTTTAAGAAGATTCTATGATTATTAAAAGAAAAAATAGAATATTCTCGTACGTGAGAAGAGATATCTATTAAAAAGGATGAAATCTAATTCGCAATTTTTATTTCTATAAATATAAGAATATCATTGTTATTGTACCGCCAAAATAAAGTTAAAAACAATTATGCAATCATATTCTTAAAGATAAAATTTGATGAGATTTTTCATAAAAAAGTTTAAACAATTCTTTAAATCTACTGTTTCACTGACAGCAAAAACTGTTCAGGGAAAAACATCACTTTCCTATAGTTTCATAGAAAAATAACTTTATTTCAAACTTACGATTCTTTTTTTCTGCTTAGCAAGTTACAAAGTTTGGGATCACTAACTTTAAGTAATTGGATGCTTCTTTCTATACTCTTTAAGAGATTAAACGATGCGATTATGTGGACATTCAGACACGCGGATATAAACTAGATCAATAAGTAATTAGGTCTGCTAGATTGTCAGGTACAACGATTGTAAAAGTGGCGAGAAAAAACGCAGCTAGTGCATTCGAACGCAACTTCTTCAATAGTAGATACGACTGGCAATCGAAATATTGTGTGATGAAAGGTATTAATGTTGTACAAATATATAAATATATACATGGTAGAAATACAATATTCTGTTCATAAATATCCGATACATGCGCCTATAATAGCAAAATTCTTTCCACAAAAGAAAGTATACATTCCCAACAACGCGACCTCAGTGGATGCTGGGAAGTCGAAGCAATGTGGCTTTTTAATAATAATTTTTCTCATAGTTATCAACCACAATGCTTCAAGCCCAAACGCTGTGATCGCGAAATAGAGGCATAATATAGCGCTACAATCACACATGTTAGTTTCACCATAGATATGTTCAATTAGTAACATTTATATAATTTTTGGTATATCCAATTAGAATTTTCTAATTCTTTTTTACGTCAATACACGCAAACATATAGTACCCTAATCTCTCTTTATAGTTTTCAAAAACATTTAAATTAAATTGCATCTTACCAGTCAAGCTATTCAATTATAAAATACATTTCCTCTATTATATATTTAATTCGTATTATAGTCCTGCATTTACCAAAATATATCATCTAGTTATGTATAAAAATAATGCAAGGATAGAGCACCAGACTTATTTCCTGTTGATCGAAACAGCGCTTGGGCTAACACTGGCCAATGTTTCTCTGGATTGGTCTTACCTCTCTTCGTTTCTCCTCCTCACGAAGCTTTGCTTGTCTCCATTCCATTTCCTCCATCATTTGACGCTCCATAGCCCTTTTAGCTTCTTCTACTCTCCTTTGTACTTCAGCTTCTATTTCCTCCTTACGCTTTTCTAGCTCTTCCTCCACCCTCTTCTGCACTAGTTCTTCTATTCGCTTTGCAGCTTCTTCTTCAACCATTTTTTGCTCTACTTCACGCTGCCTTCTGTAAGCACAGAAATATTTTGTTGTTCTAATGCTACAGGAGTAGCACACACTTTCCAAATATGTTTACTTCTTTACCAAATTTACTTCAACAATCTATAAATATAACCGTATAAAATGTATTTATTTGATTTAATCAAATACTTTAGTTAATAAAGCATAAAAATATATTTAGAATACTAGTACATAATATTGTATGTGTAAAGTGTGTGTGTGTTCATATTTACGTAATTCTAAAATATATAGTATCTATTAAAATATCTGAGACTTATGTATATACATATATGAGATAATTGACCCACCACCATGAGATAGTTATACAATCTTACCCAACTGCACTTGCGGTGAAGATTTTGTTCGATAATTCTTTCTTTTTCCTGACAACATAATTATAAATAAAAAAAACGTATACCAATAAAATCAAAATATATAAAAAAATTTTTTTATTAATTAAAAATTAAGTAAAAAGCATTAAAATTTTTTTATATTTTGTCTATTATACAAAGACTAAAAAATATGGAAAAATATGGAATATAATCCTTAGGCATAAGTACCTTAACATCAAGTGCATATGGAAATAATAAAATAATCTAATATGTTATCCTCTATAATATCATAATATTTTGTTTAAAACAAAAATATTACAGATAACTATTGTTAGTCAAGGCATATTTATTAAATAGAAGCAAGTAAATCAAACAAAATAATAATCAGTCTAAAATAGTTAATTACCTTTGACGTTCCATTTCTGCCAGCCTCTCTACCTCATCCATTTTGCGATCCCTGTCTCTGTATGAACGTTTCTTATGACTGACAATGTGTACATCATCCGAAGCATCTGAGCCTGAACTAGAGGATGCAGAATGGGATCGTTTCCTGTGTGCATAAATAAATGCGTTCAAATTTTATAGAAACAGCAAGATAAATGGGCTTGAAACCCATCTACTAAATAGCAACATTTATTAATAGAATGTTGGTAACAACGTAATAAGATATATACAACGATAGAAGACATAAATCTTTAATCAGACGTAACATATATTTCTTCTATCGAATGTGTGTATAGCAAAATGGCGGAAAACTCAATAGAACGAAACGATTCCAATATGCATATATTCGATAACAAAGTAAAATATATTACCTTGATTTAGAACTACGTTCTTTTGGCTTGTCGGAGTACTTGTTGTTCGAATGCTTCTCACGTGATTTTGAGCGTTTCCTTGAATGCTTACTCTTATGACGCCGTCTACTAGGAGATTTTGTTCTGGATCTAGAGCGGCCCATTTCGATGAGCTTAACTGTCTTTTCCGAATAATTATTTGAAAAACTACGAATATACTAATCACTAAGAATGTAGCTATACATGAAAATAACCGAACACTACGCGAATATCGCAACAGAATAACAAACCAATCACTGATAACATGTACACCGCACAACTCACTTATGCCGAAGCTCTGGCCGCCATGATTAACTTAGTTTTCAAGATGGAGTATAATATCGAAATAGATTGCGCCATCTTTTCGAGGAGCTCAAGACGAAATTTCAAAGACAGATATGGTGTAGGGAACAATAGATAGTCAGCGAAAAAGGAAACGAGGGAAGCAACTGACCATAGTAGCTTTAACAAAATTATATTTGAGTGTTATATGGGTGCACGCACGAAAAAGACTATTTAAGAAAAAAAAATTGTTTTCCTTTATTTCTGTATCTATCTGTATAGATCTGTCTTTCAATTTTCGTTTTCAGCTTCTCCGCAAGTAGGCGCAATCTATCGGTATAACTACAATATAATTTTACGAAGTACACATAATCTCCGTCACAGATTTCTTGCAACAAAATTTTAAGTAATATATAACTCATACAAACTATACTTCTTATACATTTTCACATCATTTTAACTTTCGTATTTATTTATTTATCATTTTTATTACTCAACAGAATACTACAAATTACATATCTTAAATTCTTACATTCAAATTTTGCGCCAAAATTCCATTCGTATTCCGCCAATCAGAGTACAGAACTAGGATTGTAATTTCTACAATTTCTAACTATAATTTCTCGTAATATATAGAGTAAAGTATGTACATAAATGTCTATGCGTGTGTCGTTTAGTTACAAGCAACCACAACCAGGGAAAGGGAGTGGTGTAACACAAAATACTTAAGATCGGTTAAGAAAGGTTAAACTGAAAATGGGATAGCATGGTATAAGTATGACATGACAGAAAGTAACCCAATGAAATGAACGATTCTGGAATGTGATTGGTTCGCGCGTGTTCCTAAATGCCGCGGCGTTCATTGGCAATGGCACCCGTTCACAGCTGTGTCGGCTGCGCGCGCATCTCATTCGGCTAGTTCCGCGACAGCAAAAATCAAGATGGCGCTCCTCTGTTTGCGGATAGTTCTACGACGGATATAAATACGTGAAAAAAAAACAGTGCAAGAAACGGTTACGAGTTATCGAATACATCGTGACGATTCGTATATAGGTATTATAGAGTGACAGTCGGTTGGGTAACGCGTCGCGATAATTGTAAAGCACGGTTAGCCGGGTAAGCCGCCTGCGGTATTTGGAAGATTGGCGGAAGGTGCTGTCGGTGCCCACCTGAGGAATGCCAGATTATCCTCGGTGCAGCAACTCGTTTGGCAGGGAGATGGTAATCGCGTGACGGATCGCGTGTAAGTCGATCGAAAGTGTTTTGGTAGGTGGTCCCCCGGAAAGGTGTACGGTCGTGTTTGTTCCGTGACGTATGTGTGTCGCGGAGGGCTGTAAGACAGGTCGGTCGCGAGTGTCGTCGTCGTCACCGTCGTCGCCGTCGTCGCTATCGTCGTCGTGGTCCGACTCGTGTTCGTGTCTAGTGTGCCGCGAGTGGCGTTTTTCGCGGCTTCGATGTGCTCTCGTCCTCCCCTGGATTTCTGGACAGGCGAGATCAGCTGCTGCTGGAACAACTAGTCCGGCGGCTCTGGGAGACGATCCTCATCTACAGGAGCGGTGGGGCAAGGAGGTACCGGAAGCAGCCGCGAGTCCGGAAGCATAACGAAGAAGATGGCCTTCAACGAGGTAAGTTTCATTTCTGTATGACGTTATATGTATATCTTCTATCTTCCTATTTCGCTCGGTCGTTCGATTCCGTGGGCTGACCTCGCGACCCCCAAACGCCAATTCTAACCTAACCTCCGTTCCTGCGCACAGCTGGCATGTTATCAACTCTATCCCCTTCCTCTCTCTTGCATCTCTTCATTCTCATCCTTTCGTTCTCTTTCTAACCTTCTTCTCCTTCGTTTCTCTCGGGCACCATGCCCGCCGCTTTTGTACTCCGTTCTACTGTTAAACGATCACGAGATGGATCAAAATCCCCACAATCCGGTTATCCTTTATAGTAACGTTACGATACACGTTTTTGGTAATCCTTTCGATTGGTCGACCCTGTACTTTGTACGTGCTACCAAAAATACAGTTAACGTGTTCTTTTATTTAAATTTAATTCTACCAACTACTACCATTTTCACATTAATACATTTCCGTGACTCGTAAGAAAAGTTAATATGTCGTAATTTCTGATGTTTTTACGTGTTTGTGGATAATGTTTCTTGGAAAATACGTATTATAAAAAAATACTACGTGATATTTATACCATCTAATTCAGAGTAGCCAAAATATGCATTTCTATGATAAACAATATCGATAATTGTGTATCGTAAAAAAATTTTCTCACGAAGATTGCATTATTAATTTAACGTTTGATAGACAATTACATCATAGTATAGTCTAGATACGAAAGAGAATTTGTTACTTACGTTCACATTTTGACTTTGATGACATTGTATCACCGATTGTTTACGCCGTAACATTTCTTCCTAACGATATTGCGTAATCATACCCATAAAGAAACACGGGTTTTCACAACAGAGAAGGAAAATAAAAAGTGTTTCAATGTACCTGATTCTTGTGTAAGATGATACATCAGAACGGCGCATATTTCCGAGCCGCAACAGAGTGGCGATATCGTTAACAAAAGTACTATTGTAGACCGGTAAAATAAAAATGTATTTACACATATGGTAAATAGAGTGTTATCTATTCGATAATCTGATCGAACAGCTTAAGATTATTTTTCGCCGACCTCCTATCGTTTTTGGTGACGCATGGTTGCAATCGTGTAAGCTTTTTATCACGTGCTACTATTTATTTTTGCTGACTGTTCGGTGAACGAAAAGAGCGCTGACCAGTAATTAATATACCACGATCTAATTTCATCGACATAGTCGTACCGTGCAATACGAAGCGGAGAAAACTTATACTGTAATCTGTAACCATAGGCGTGATTGCTGATTTTTTTTAATTAACACGTTGCAATGTGGCATTATACTTCCGTGTCACGATTTCCGGTGAATACTAACACTCTCAAGGCGTAATTTTTTATCTTTTTATTAAAATTAAAGAATTTTTATCGTAGAACGAATTGATGCACAAATTGTAGTTTATTCGTAAATTAAATTTTTGTAAGAAAGAAACAGTTTACAATACAAAAGATATTCAATACATTTTCTATAAAATATATATTTTATATTAGATATTATACTTTTTGTATTAATTAAAATCAATGGCTGAAGTAACCAAACACATGTAAGTGTACCTATTAAGTTCTCAAACTAAAATTTTTAAAACCTGATGCTTCTAATGCAATTTTTTCTATTATTCTTCAGTTTCGTTTTATTAGAGCCATAGAATTTCTTTGGCTTCCGTGGTACCACGAATTTAGGTCAACGGTGTAATTTAACGGATAACTAAAGATAATCGATCATTTAATGGCATCTTTTGAGAAAAGTGGGGGAAGAACAGCGTTTTTATAATATATAACATATTTTGCCTGTGCCATTGACGCATGTTGCTACAGCATTGCGTATACATATACGCTTACGTACACACGCGAAGGTTGCGCGTGGATCATTCAACCGTCCCACGTGCGCTCTTTAAATGAGAAATTAATTAATGAAAGGACGCATCAGCGTTTACCATTAATCTTCATACGCTACGACGCGTATTATTTGTTACGATTTCCTACTATTCAGTCCGCAATCTTTATTTTCATTATTGCTCTGCAACAATTAACTTTACTGAAAGCTACGTTACTTTTTATCCGTTAAAACAAATCTATTCATTGTTTTTTACGCTACTTCGAGTCACGTTAACGTACCACGTCAGAAGTTCACGGTCGATTCATTGAAAATTAAATACAATCGTCATCATAGCTGCGATCGATTATACGAAAGGACATCAACCGAGGTGTACAAGTCACTGTACACAAAAAAGAGGTGAAGGTGGTAGTCCTTACGAGCACAGCACAGCACAGCACCTGCTATACCGGGTCATATCGATCGAGATGGAATATACAAGTAGTCAGAGTGGGATTCCACCGTTGTTCTCCCTTCTATGGCACCCACTCGTTTGTCGACGATCATATGGCTTCTTTTTCCCATCTCGAGCCTTCGTGTTCTTTACGCCTTCACGATAACATGTCTATCCATTTTCCGACCAATCCTACGTTTGATTTTTGTTTCTCTGCCCTTTTAAGTCTTTGTGCATCTTGTCGACTCGTAATACGTTTTTAACACTGTGTAGACAAGGCTGATTCGTTCACGACCTCGTCGAAATTTCACTCGAGAATTTCATCGAAGCGAATTCTTATTTTCAAAATTCTGCCACGCTATAAATTTGATGCAATATCGTGAAATTGTAGGAACTGCAAGATAGAAGTCTATGTCTACAGCCTACAGTTTGTCACGTATCAATTCATCGATATTATTACGATATCGCATATGAATAATCAATAATAAGTAGAACCATAACGAATCAGATAGCTTGGATTTCACAGCGAATTTCTATTTTTCCTTCAAACTTTCTTAAACATTTGATTGTATACGGCGTAGCAGAGACTTCGATAAATATTCCGGAGCTTTTTCAGATATGTTGAAAGTCTAGAAGAGCAACAAAATTAAATATTCATAGATGAAAATTGAAGGAATTCGCTAAGCTATATAATTAACAAATTAAACACGAACGACCCAGGTTTCCCAAGTAAAATGTGAAAATATACTTGCGTACGTAACGTTAATTCCTGACTATGTTCACACGGAAAAGTTGCCCCACAAACTTTTTAGAGCTTCTCGAATAAATCACGGCGGAAGCAAATGCTGTCGACTGTCGAAATACAACACCTAGATTTCCAACATATTTATAATATTCGTATGTACCTAGTTATTAGTCGACCTAAAAGTTAATTATCAAACGAGACAGTTTCTGCTCGATACTGATTAATAGTCTGGAAAAATGGGCTACAAGTTTGCAAGAAAATCTCATTTGCTGTAACGATTACGTGGCTTAACGTTACGAAAACAAGGAACTCGTTGCTCGCGGAACGATAGCACCATATGTATCTACGCGCACACACATATGTATATAGCTGGTTTGTTATCGACGTCGTTGTTCTTATCGTATTCCGGAAAGTCTAGCTTGCACCTCGGTTAGTCGAGACGCGCATAAACAAACGTACAAACGTGTACATGTATACGCGCATAGATATCGCTGCATTGCTCCATGTGGAGTTTATCGACGCGGCAATTTCAGAAGTGTACACGTATACAGGGTGCCTCAGTAATCATGCTACAATCGAGAAGACGCAGATTCTACGCGAAAATATAAATGAGAAATATACAATAAAATTTTCTTCGCTGTCGAGAAAATCGAGTTTGAAAATTTGTTAAAGATACCGTGAACTTGGCTAATTGGTGGACAGATATGAGTAAACAATTAACAAGAAGTTATTCCGTGCGTAGAAACGAGTAAAAAAATGTAAAATAACATCATTCCATTTAAGGCTTTCGTTTTCGAGAAAATAAAGTTTCAGCATCTTTGGTTAAGAATTGGTTTGACGTACACGTACATACGTACTCGATAAACTTGCAAATTTCATTTTCTCGATAACGAACGTTATGTGAAAAATCTTATTCCGTATTCTCGACATATTTTTTCCGCATAGAATCCCCACTTTGTCGATTGTACTATGATTACCGGTACACCCTGTACACCCCGTTTGCCACACGTATGTACACGATTGTACCGTTATAACGTGGGCGGCTGAAGTTTCGACGATCTCTTATTTTTTCCATTCGGTCTGTTTGAGAGATCAGAGGCGTGGGTAGGAAAGCAGGTTACATTAAAAAATCGTTGGTTTTGATATCGGGCGGCGATCGACGAATCTATCTCGGCGGATCTTTATTATTTTGAAACATTGATATCGCGTTAAGATCGCGTACTCGTGAGAACGTGGGCACGTATATGTTTTTTAATTAACGCCGGGATTCGTGGGTGTCAAGGATACCGGGGAGGCCAGGCGAATAATTTGTCGAGAATGTTGACACGATTCGCGGAGAAGTACGAAAGGGTCGCGTACAGCGCGAATACTTGTGAAATTCATTTCTATAATGGAGGTATCAACATAGACGAAGATAGTCGTTGGTATCGCTTACGTTACACAATAGACATTGTTTGATCGTGGCCTCGATGCAGCCTGGCTGCATATCTGTTCCTGTGGCGCGCGCGTATATAAAGTACACGCTGACAAATGCGTACCAGATTCACCGATGTTTCGAACGAAACCGTGGGCGAGCATCATAGGCAACGAAGAATTGAACTATGGAAATTGACAAAGGCGGGTACATCCGTGATTAAAGCTGACGCTTGTGCACGGACAATGCACCATTGTGCTCCGTTTCCAGGTGTAATCTCTACTTCCTGGTAAATTAAAATCTGTCGTCGCTGCTTCCTATGCTGCACGGCTGTTTTCGCAATTCCTTGAGGGACTGCGACGTTACGCGACAGAGAGGAACACTGTGTCGATCTTGATCGAACAGTATACGCGAAGAACATGGAGATAACGAAGCAACCTACGGACGCGGCTTATGAGCGCGAACGACGCAACAAGAATCATAAGGAATCGAGGCTGGCGACGAAAAATTGCAATTCACGTTATAAAATTGAAATTTATTGCCCTTCGCGAG